GCGAATATTTAAAAAATATAGTCCAGGAATACTTTCCTAAATTAAGAGAAATTTATATTGACATAGTGAAAGAATGCCTTGGATAAAAGCAAAGCTTTCAAAAAGTAGATAATAGGGGAACTATAAAAAGACATAGTCAGAACTATAATAAAAATGAGAGACTTTAATGACCTTCTCTCAGGAAACTTAGTTATGGTGGCCAATGATTAAGTAAGGATATAGAAGATCTAAATGACATAATAAATAAGCTATTTGTTGATAGCTAGCAATTTATAACAATATTAGAAAACAGAAAGTCACCACCATTTGGAAGTTTAAAACGCTTAAATAATACTTGGATCAGAAATAAAAATATGAATCAACACTTTGCAATAAATAAAGAACAAGTATGTTCTTTGAAAAAACAAAAAATAGAGAACCACAGCTAATCTAATCTAGAAAAAAAGGGATAAAGGACAAATCTGTAAAAAAGAAAAACAGAAAACATAGAAATAAGGAGGGTATGGCCCTATCAGATATTATAATTAATAAAAGCTCTAAAATTATTAAAGGAATGTGTTACTATGCAAGACTAGACACAAACAAAGATTTAGAATAGCAAGCTGAGAAATATATTCAAACGTGGGAATTTACTCTATGGTAGACTGTGATAGCAAAAATCAGTGGGATAAACAGAGATTTTTTAAAATAATGCTGGACAATGAATAACCATAAGAAAACTATAGCACTGGATCTATATTTCCCTCAACATACCATAATAAACTTTATATAGATTACTAATTTAAGTGTAAGAACTATAGCTTTAAAAATGGTATAAGAAAGCAAATTAACATAGGAAATGTTTTTTTTTTAAACTTTGGAGTAAGGAAAATCTGTCTTCAGCCCAAATACTAGAAGCCATAAAATAAAATATTGAAAATGTAACATAAAAATGAAATCAAACAACACACACACACACACACACACACACACACACACACACACATACACACACACTGAGGAATATCAAACCCAAACAACAAAGTAAAACAATTTATATAACAAGCAAGAATCCCCCTTTCCTAACATTTAAAAAACTTGTAGGAATTGGGAATAAAAAAGGCCAATAACATAACAGAAATTTGGGCAAAAGACAAAATTTTCAGATCCAGAGACACAAATGGCTCTAAAGTATATGAAAAGATGCATGTATTCATTTCCACTAAGAAAATGCAAATTAAAATTATATGTCGATAGTTTAATTTTCCTATCAAATAGAGTACAGTCTTCAAATTTTCCCACACACTTTGTTGATATAGCTCTAGGGAAAAAGGATTTTTTTTTCATACCTCACTGAGGAAGTACAAAATGTAACAATATAGAAGGCAATGTGGCGAATCTATTAAATGGTCTCACAGATACGTTGTACCAATAACACTGCACATATTCATAATGATGTATTATAAGGCTATTTATTATGACTTTTATGTAAAAAGTAAAATAGTTAAAGCAATACAAGTGTCCATAAGTAGGGAACTGACTAAATAAATTGGCACATGTGCATGATGGAATACTGTATAGCTGTGGTAAAAGAAAAAAGAAGCTTGCTAAGTATTGCTATGGAAAGATCTCTACGATGCCTTGCTAATTTAAAAAAGGCAAGGTACAAAATAATGTAGATTGTGCTACAGTTTAAGAAGGAGGGAACAATGAGAATATATTGCTTCTACTTCTATTTGCATATACCCTGGGAAGATGCAATACAAGTTTGTATGTGGAATGGTATAAACAAGGATGAAGTTGGAAGAGAGACTTTTTACTATATATACTTATACTGGTTGGATTTTTGAACCGTATCAATTTACTTCTAAAATTTGACAGTAATATAATCAGAAACCGATCTATTTACATTTTATGATCTAGGTCATTCTTGTCATATTTGTTGAATTAGCCTATTCTTTTATTAAATATCTGTAATATGGCATGATTTTGTTAAGTCTTAATGTAGTGGGATACCCTTAACACTGCAGAAATGTATTTACAAGTCCCAGTGGGCTGGTACTTTCCAGTAAGATCCTGTTTTTCCATTCCCTAAAATATAGCTGTGACAAAGATCCTCAGACCACAGTCATTGAAAATGGCAGAAGCCAGCAGGGCCGGTTTTCCTTTGAAGTATTCCGATTTGTGAAGCACAAGAATCAGAAAATGTCCACTGTCTTCCTGCACTGTGTTACGAAGCTCTGCAGAGCTGATGACTGCCCCTTCCTTATGCCAGTAGGTTGTTTGACAACTTTATTCTAAATTGTCAAATTGATTTAAGCTGAAAGGCTATCAAGTGTTAGGCACTAATTTATGTAGAGAGAGGGGATATGCATCAGGTCAAACTATTTGAAGTAGGATTTATTCATTCATCCAGTAAAGATCTATTGAATACTAGCTTTATACCAACCATTATACTGGGAATACAGAGATGCATGCATGAATTCTGAATTCAGTTAACTTATCCTTTAGGAGCATGAGATAGTTACGGAATAAAACAAGACAAAATATTATGGCACAAAGGCGACATAGATACGAGCTGTAGTAAGAGGCAGTCCTCATCCTTGTGAGTGAGATAAGGCAGGAGATATTGGGAGAATTGGTGGAAGAGAGGAGCCTTGAGCTGAAGATAGATAAACCCCAAAGGGACAAAATCAAGAGTGTGAGAGACGCTCCATGCCAAAGGATGGTCAAAGTCACAGACACATAAAAGAGCAACCAGGGAACTTCCAGTCCTTCATTAAAGCTATGGAGCACAGCGAAAGATGATGGGGAAACCTGAGGGGGTATGGTGGTGCTGGGCTGGCACTAGAAAGGGAGGTTGGGGCCAGATGGCCTGAGTATCCCTTGGATTAAAAGTCAAAGCTATAAAAGGTGTGAATCTGAATTGCTTACAGCTATCATGTAAAATATAGATCCATTTATTAGTGAATAAAAAGATTATATTTCTGACAGATTCCCCCTAGAGTCACATCAATATTAACCCAAGAAAAATGAAGGCGCATTTAAAAATTTTGAAATGGCTTTAATATGTTTATATTATGCTCAAATTCATGCGTTTCTTTATAGTCATTGATTAGTTCTAACTAGCTATATCAGATGGGCTTAAATGTAGAGTCCATATTACCTTGGCTGACCAACATTTCAGGGAAAGATTTATTAAAGGCTTGAGAGAAATAAAAGTAGAGAAGTTTGATAAACACAGCTCTTTTTCGGGAGAGCCACTGAGCTATGTAAATAAATGAGGCGATGCACAATTACAGTGGGAGGAAATAAGAAATATGGCCTAAGCCAGGATAAGAAACATTGTAGCAGTTATATGCAAAGTAATTAAATAAATGCACAGAAGTAAATGAATAAAATTAAACATGTGGTATCTCTTCCAAAAGAATCTGCTTTCCGAATGGCCATAAAGAAACAATTTTGTGCCGGTGTGGAATTTCATTTGTTTTCATTAACTCCTCAGATTTGCAGCCACAGAGAAAGGAGAGATGCGGGGAGGAGGACCACTTGGAGCCCCCGGAGCACTTCGGGAAACGCTGTCCTCTCTGTGGGTCCCATCATTACTCGGAGCGGTAAGAGCGCCCCTCCCTGTGTAGTAATACACGGTTCCAAAATGGCCTGTTGCTTAGCTTCTGAGGAGAACTCATGGTTCCCTATGAGCACTAATTAACCGTAAGACGCAATAAACTGTTAAACAACTTTTAATTTCACAGTTGTTTCCTGTTAACTTATACACAAAGGGCAATATTTTCTTTATCACATTTCCCTTACACACACGTATACCGTACTGGACATTTGCCCTTCTGGATCCACTCTTACCCCCCACCCCCGGCGCTCTGCCTCCGAAGACTGGCCCGGGAGAACTGCCTGCCCCTGCTGCCTTGCCATCTACTTTCCAGCTGTGCCTGGCCAATATGTGACACTGTAAGAGAATGATAGAGAAGTTCACACAGCTCCTGCCAGATACCTCTCTTGACAGAGCTACTCTCAGTTCTGGATACCCTCCCCTTAACACATAGCCCAGGTAACTTGATTTCCTCTTGTGAATTCCCTACATCTTTATTTATAGTCCTATTAAATTCTCCTTAAATTGCCTGGTTTGAGTGTCATTTGTTTCTTCCTAGGATCCTGAATATTACATACCCCAATTCAGTGCACTCATTCATGTTCATGAATCTAATGGACACAACTGTTTATACAGATATATTCTCATGCATACAAATATTTGTGCATGCACGCTTTCTTTTCTCTCTCTCTCTGCCCTTTTCCCCCCAACCCTCCCATACACCAAAGAAATATTGCTTTCCGTCAGCATGAACCCAGAGACATCCAGAACTGGTTAAATAAAACAGACATACAGTATAAACAACACAAATTAGATTTAAAAAAAAGAAAAACACGAAAATTGGGTCTAGTTTTGTCCTAACAAGCTAGGTTTCTTGGGATTTTACTTCACTGCTCTGGGCATGTGTTTCTTCATTTTTAAAATAAAGGTTTTGAAAAAGTAACCTTTAAGATTCTTTCTAACTCTATAGTTCTAAATGTATCTAGAAAAAAGAAAGAAAGCAACAGAATTCTGATTTGGATTATATTCTAACATTTTTTCTCTTTTTTATATTAGTCATACGGCTATTATTTAATGTTTCAATTAGATTATCTTTACCTCTTCTCTCATGCCTCCCATCCTGCAGTGAAAAGAAAGTTTTGCCTGAAATAAGGAATTAAGCAAAAAGTGGTTTGGGCCTGAAAAATCCAGATATTTGCTTTAATTATTGACTCCTCTGTGTTTGTGTAGACATAGCATCATTTCAAAACAAACTAATAGTCTTTTTAAATACTGCAGAAATTTATTAAATATAAAATTTTAAACTTAGTTTATACTCTCTGAGAGTTTGGTATATATTTTGAACGCTTTGAAAATGAGTGGTTTATGGTTTGTAAAAGGCCCAAAGACTTATCTTCATCTAGCTGTCTGAAACTCAGCTATTGTTGCCAATAAGTAAGAATGCTTTGGGGTAGGCGCAATACAAAAATATTTTTATTTCTATGGAGCATATCTAGGGTCATTTTGCTGTAAGAAAAGAACTTTGAAAGGGACATGTTTCTGTTCATTTTTAGTAGATGGCTTTTCCTCCTTATTAACCTCTTTGCCTCCTTCTTACCTGGAGCAAATTGAATTTATTATTATTTTTCTATTTTTTTGAATTTAAATATTACACATTTAAAATAACTTGCTAGTGTAAGATAATTTTTAAAAAGACGAAAATTACTAAGAACCTCCCCCGCCATCCTAGTAATGATTACCAAGTAGAAGTTTCTAATTCTACCATAGCTAACCAGCTCTCCAGGTTTGTAGGTTTCACCTACACTATGTCTAGTCACCCAAAATATCTTGGTTAAAATCCTGAAGAGCTAATGCCTTTAATCACAGCACCACCAATGTCATGCCTGGGTGTCTTCTTTTCTAATTTCAACTTGTTTCCACCTTGAAGGTGACATTTATTCCCTAGCACATTAGCGTTGTCTCCTAGTCACCTCAGTTTCTCCTCGGGTAAAACCTGCAAAGGATCATGTTCAAACCTTCCAGACCCCATTCCTCTCACTCTCTGTGGATTTATTTTTCATAATTTTGATAAATAGCAATAGAATGTTCCTCATTTTTTGGTGATCATGGTGGCCTCATTGTGTAGAGGACCATATATAACAATATTTACCCTGTAATACTGTGATATCCATGCAAAAAAACACATTTTAAATTCCACACAGAGAACTCATAAATCAAGCCACATCCATTCACAGGCAAATCCAATATAAATTTAATGTCCTGCTTAACGATCAAGGCTACCTTCTTTCCTTAGTTTCACTTTATTTTTTACCTTAGATCAGCTAGAATTTATTTCTCCAGGTCCTGTGGCCAATTTTATATAGAATAGTCCAATTTCAGGCTTGATTTGGTCTCTTCAGAGCTCTCTGATACTAGTAATTTTTGCTCTGTTTACTCATTGAACCACTCCTTCACCCTAGACAACTAACTTAGGTCAAGTTTAAAAAGTTGTTAAACCTCAGAATTTTAGTTTTGTTTCTTATTTTAATGAAATCAGTTCCATTCTGTTTATTTTTACCCAACAATGTTGAATCATTTTGTTAGTTTATTTAGGAAAATATTCACATCCTCAAAATTCAAAAACCACAAAATTCCTGAAGTATTCCTTTTTTAAGTTCCCAAATGTGAAGACTATTTGGTCAGAAAATAATTATTATGGGTACTTCTGGCAATTCAAAGGTACAATCGCTGAAAAACTGTGGTCTAATCATTTGTTTACATAAATTCTGATGGAGAAGTCCAAGCCAAACTCTCATTCAACTTGTACCACTGAGTTTTTTGGGAAGTTAATAATTCATCTGAGCATATTAGCTCCTACATGGGACAGGCGCTCTGACAGGAAGGTGGAATACAATAGAGAACAGGCCAGTCTTTGCCCTCAGGGATCTGAGTTCAGAAGCAGAGATAGACTATGAAAGAACATAGCATGGTGGAAAGTAAAAAGTTTGGAGGTTCTGAACTTGAAACATGTGGTCCATTTTACCACATAAGTGATTTAAGATTTAAAAAGAAAGTTTGCTTGTGCTAAGAAAGAGAAAATATTTGTTCTCCATATATCTTCATATTTTCTTTTTCTTCTTTTTCTTTTTTCATTTATTTCAACTACATATATGAGAGAAAAACAGAGAATGACAATTCATTTGCCACTTTTGGCTTATGAACAGCTGTAGTATTGCTGCTACTACTTTTCTCCTATGGGTCCTTTCAAAAAACTTTTTGTTTTTTGAAAAGCCCACCAGGTTTACTGTTCTACTTCCCAAAGGTTTCTTTTGGCATATTTATGTATGTTAAGACCAAGTGGATGGTAGAGAAAAACAGAAGTGTGTTGTGACAGAAAGCTCATGGAAAATGTCTGCCTCTTCTTTCTGGGCTAGACAGTGCTTTGATTTTTTTCTTTTTTTAATTGCAGTGATACTAAAATTGCAAGATACTAGAAATAGCAACCAGATACAGTTATTCTCTCTACCTTTATGCACTACCAAATACAATTCCAAACAATGTTCAAATATAACATGGTTTGATTTCAGCCATCTGTCAAAGGTAGGATGCTTTCAGTTTTTCAGAGTTCTGGAACCTGGAGCTGGTATGGCTTATTTGGCATTTTGTCCCCACATGAAGATTTTGTTGAGAGCCAGGTCCTCATGGGTAACACCTGGGAGAGGAGAGGGTATTCCGACTTCCTTTCTTCACCTCATAATGTAGAAAATACTAGAGGCTTTGCATCATAGCACTTCTGCCTAATTTGGGACACATAGGAGAAAGAAGCTTTCTATTCTTTAATAGAAGCATTTTTTTTTTTAAGTAAATGAATGTGATTTCTAAATAAAGAATAACTGTTAAAAAGGAATTTTAGAGCATTATATATTCTTCATGTTCCAGTGAGGCAATTTGTCTTGAGAAAGGGGCACATAGATCTTTCGGATGAAATAATCACAGTTCGTTCATCCTATCTATTTCCATGAGAAGGAAGTGTCTATAAAACGATGTTGTTTGGAAGTTAGGATTTTCCTAAGGGACCCTTATAAGGAAAATTTGTGGCATTTTTCTTTTTGTCCTATAGCAATGCACTGCACTAGTCTAAAGAATCCTGAGAATGCACACTCTATTAATTTTGGGCATTGTACTTCAGGGATCAAACAGCAGAATCATCATTTTTGCCAAGACTCATATGTCTGAAAAGAAATGGCATCAGATGTTTTATAAATATCTCACCAGGTTTTCCCATCAGTGGTTTCAAATACTAATCCTGGAGTTTTTTGTAGCTTGAGATATTCATCTCTATGACTAAAAATATTTTTCATACTTGGCTAGTTTATATTATTTTAGAAAGAGGATTCTGAAACAGCTTTTATTTAAACATATGTTTACTTTATCATAGAGGCTGTGACAGATGGAAATTTCTTCATCTGTAAAATGGGGGTAGCAATCATATCTAAACCATATGGCTATTATGAGGATTAAATGTGAAAACATGAAACAGCGCTTTGTAAAACTGTATGGGACTATATGCATATTAATTATAATAATATTTACACACCCAAATCAGTCATCTGCACATATTTTATGAATCAAATAACAAACTCTCACAGACACATACACATATTTAAACACAAATATGAAATCCATTCATTGTAAAGCTCAAGGGTTAATTGCTATATGATTACGAAATGGGTAACAATAATCAGGAAGCCAAGTGAATGTGTTTATTGTATCTATTATTATGTTTTGCCAGGGAAAAGTAAAAAATCAACAGCTTCTATCTTTTACTTCACAAATGTGAATAAAACTATAACTCAAGCTCAGACGTCATGTTTTCCTTTCATTTAGTTATTAAGTGTGAATTTATCTTCTTGGAACTTAAAATGATGTTTTTGCAGATTACACTGGGTAAATGGGCAACACTTAAAATAGAGCGGCGCTAAATAATGAATATTTCTCTATAACAGAATAACAAATGACATGTTATAGGGCTATAAAAAATGTAATAGCTGTTAACAGTTATGCCCCTACTAACATGACTAAAGAGATAATGATGAAGCAAAGTTGGCAGGAAAGAATACAGTGCAGTATATTTTGCCATTATGTTTGTATGTCCAGGGCAGTGGCAGGGTGTGGGCTTGGGGAACAGATAGATGATGAAACCTCAGACAAGTGGCATAGAAAATGGGAAAGCACAATGGTTTACGAGGATTTTTATTATTGCCTTCCCCATGGAGCTTGTGGGTGAAGGTGAGGAGACATGTAAATAAAAAGTGATTATAGAATTATAATAAACATAGTTAAATATTTAGAGATACAATGTTATCTTTATTTGTTTTTCCCTCCAGATGAGACTCCAACCAACAATTCACAGCTTGGTAAGATAATTAACAGATATTGAAAATTAAATTATGATTTTTAAATATTTTAAGTATTTTTTGGTGATTAGTTGCAAAACTGTAATCAACTAAATATAATGAAGTCTGCTTTTACAACTTTGTTATATTTTAAATAACAGTTCACTGAGGAATTTTGAACTCGTATGTGACCTGTTTTTATAGCATTTTATAGATGACTTTTTTGTTTGTTTGCTTGCTCAGGGGATACCAGGCCTCTAAACCATGTAATCCTTTGATTATTGGATTGAATTACAGTAAAATAGATGGTCTCATGATCTAGTGTCACGCTGTTAGTCTATAAGATACTGGTGACAGATGTTTTGCAGGTATAAATCAGGATAAGTTGAAATAAATCTGATATTGGATTTTTCCACTGTGTGTTTTATTACTTGCAGGTTCTCCAAATGAACCTCCTTTCCAGCTGAACGCCGTCACCAGTGCATTGATATCAGGAAATGTCATTCTGGGAGTCATGAGCTTTTCCCTGCTCCTGTGCTCACTGGCCCTCCTACACAGGAAGGCACCCACCAGTTTGGTGTTGAACAGCATAAGAAACCCAGTCTTTGACTGATTGTAACAGGTCCCTGCTCTTGAGAGAAGGCTCACTGACCATAACATGTGTGACTGCAGTCAATGTTCCATCTGAATTGAATGCTAGCCAACATTTGATATTTGTAGATTTGGTAGATTTCACAGTGTAGCTCTTTAGCTTAACAATAGTGAAAGCATTTTGATAATATTGCTCTTGTCACTTATGTATACGGTCAGCCGTATTTGTATGGCACCAATGGGTACAATGACAATAAGCACACAATATTCAGGACTTAAGTCTTACAGGATCAGTCATATTTTATTTTACTTCAGTTTTATTTTGCTTTGGTTATAGAGATAAAAGATAGGTATAGAAAAAATGGAATTTGTTATATATTTTATCCCCAAGCATTAAAACTCAAGGTAATGCCATTTAGATTTGCATACGTGGTCCTAAAATAAAAGTTACTTTTTGTTTTATTCCAGATAATTCTGGTTTGAGGACATGTTTTAGTTGGACTGGCCAATTTAGACACCTAAGATTTAAGTACTCATTCTATGACCTTCTGTGTTTTTGGTCAATTTCAATGTCTGGCAACATTCATTTTTCAGAAAAAACTCTTGGGAAATGTATCTCAACTTGGAGCACCCATTTGTGTAGCAAACAGTAAAAACAGCCGTTAACCTCCAAAAGATACTAGGAGATCCTAGATCATTATGCGTTTGGCTGTGATCAGTTTCTCCTGGTTCAAGTGCGAACATCAGCATGTGTTCATTCTCCTCCCAGGTAAACAACTCAGCTGTGACAGCTGTTGTGCTTCTAGCAGTGAGGCAACTGCCAAGATTATTCTTAATTCAAGAATCATTGCCTAGGAAAGCAAAGTGCGATTGTGGGAAGAGGACATTGTCTCCAAATGCAAGCATAGTGTTCCTCTGCAGGTTTTCAACAACCCAAATTTATTTTCTAGAACAAAGAAGAAACAAATTAAGTGTGTTTTATAGAACTTTATTGGAGTCTTTATTTATTGAGAAAGAAAGTTCCTTTTTTCTACAAATTTCTGTTGCTGGCAAAACAAATAGTTTGGAGGAGACTTTCTTTTTCAGGTATCTTCTTGAAGGTGTCATAATTACCATAAAATAAACAAAATTTTCCTCTAATGATAAACTCCAAGAAGCATTTGATCCATTATCGGTTTTGCAAAAAAAATTTAAAAATCAAGTTTTAGGCAGCCTCTGTTCTTACCATAAATAAATAAATAAATAAAATTAACCTTCACTTTATTCAAGCTATCCACACAATTGAACAATTTTTAGGACAAACACCAAAACCTAGAAGGGCCAAGTTAACTAAAAGAAAACTGCGGTAGAAACTAATTTCTATTCAATATGTGTGACCCATTATTCAGTACTTAATTTACTATATTACATGCAAATGACTATGCAATTTTAGATTTGTTTCAAATGAAGTGTCTACACTCTGAAGTTAATAATTAAGTCAATCATCAAATCAAAAAGCAACTTTTCTTCAATTTGTCTGAATAGTTCAGAAGAAAGTGTTTATATAACAATAATTAGCTATATAATTGCCTCAACTTTCTCTTTCAAGGTGTAAATACCATCAGAGTGACATGGGATCTGGAAAATGTCTAGATAATTTCTTTAATATAAAGAAATAGATCACTTAAAAAGCAAATCTCCTCTTCTCTCTGTTATTTCAAAACAACTTAGACATGACCATTATGAATTTTATCTGTGTTAACAAATGTATTTTCTAATTTAAAGGAAAAAAATCCTACAAACAGAAAAATATGAACCGTGCTACTTATGTGAACCTAAATATTCTGGAAAATCTATTTCAGATACTTTAAGTGAATTGCCATTGATGTGAGGATTAAATCCTGTGAATAAGACATTATATCATTGAAATTGTTTGTCAGTTTGATTTTTGTGCTCTTGGGATGGCTTCTGTTTCAGGTGTTGACCTTTTAAATTATATCTACCATTTTATAAAACTGAATAACAGACATATTCTGCAAGCAACTTAAATCTCATATTATTTTTTTTGCCACTTTTTCATCAAAAATGGGAGAATCAGAGCTATAATGAGACAAACCAGATTTGTTTTATATAGCTTTGTTCTTATAAACCTGCAGTTGTATGTAGTATTTAGTTATACTGAATATTCTGGTTACTGCAGTATGAGAACCTTACAAATATGTGCAAATGTTTCTTCAGTTTTAATACCTCAGACTGTTTTTTACACTTCAGGGGTAAGGTCTGATGACATGTAAAAGATGATTGTTTAATAAAATAATTGTAAATGAATATTGTTAAAATAGTGATTTTTTTAAAAAGGTATTTCTTCTTCCTATTCTTAACATTCTATCTCTACTTTCACAAACATTAAGAAAGAATAAATTTAAAATAAGCTGCTTAATGCAACAGAGAAGGTCAATGATCTCTGAAGCTAGATGAAGCTCATCCTTTCCACATTGAGCTTTCTGGTTATAGCCCTGTGGTGGGAGATGTGTCTATGAGATCAGCTGAAGGTAAAGAAAAAAGTACCTTGAGTTTGAGCTCTGACTAAAACTGAGCCTACAATTTTTAAAATATTGGGGTGGGCGGGGGGAAAGTAAAAACTGGAAAGACTGAGCTCAGCTTCTGCCTAGACTTATATAGTCTCTCATGACAGTTCTACCAGGGGCCAGCTGTCATCCCTTGTTTTGGGACATGACACAGAATTGAGGAGAAATCCTTTTCCTGACTCAGGGAGATTCCAGTCTTAAGGAAGTACTACTCTGGGTCCTCGAGGATTGGCAGTTAGCTTTGGGAGCATCATAGACATACATAATGGTTTATGAAGGGGCATGGTTGGCTGTGGGAAATACAAGGTAGTAAACTTCTAGAAGTGAGAAATGAGCAGAAGTCCATGGGAGACACTTTTTTGTGGACACGGATGAGGCACAGTTTGAGGGATTCCCAGAGCACTTGGTGGGAGTGAATTGTAAGATGATGGAGAGCCTTCTATCATGGTGGTTGGGGTTACTGGGCAGCACACATTTCCTTTTATTTCATATTTACAAGAAAAAAAGCAAGCTGATCATAGATCAATTGCTTTTGAGAATGCTATTCCTCAATTATTTATAATCGAGGAGCTATTTCACACTAAACAATCTGAATTTATAGTTTAGAAAAAACTATGCTTGGATAGTAAACAAAACAAATATTAGAGTTAACTAGTATATTATTCAGGATATTCCAGAGAAAAAGAACTAATAGGATGTGTTAAAACAAAGAGAGTTATTTTAAGGAATTGGCTTACATGATTATAGAGGTTGACAAGTCTCATGTTCTGCAGTCAGAAACCCAGTCAGAAAGCCAGCAGGCTCAAAACCCAAAAAGAGCCCTTGTTTCTCCTTGAGTCTAAAGGCAGGAATAAAACTCTGTCCCAGTTTGAAAGGCAGTTAGGCAGGAGAAATTCCTTTAGTGAAAAGGTCAGTCTTTTCTATTCAGACTTTGAACGGATTAAATGGGGTTTACCCACATAGGGGAGAGCAATCTGCTTTACTTATGTATTCAAATGTTAGTCTCATCCAGAAAAACCCTACAGACGTGCCCAAAATAATGTTTGACCAAGTGGCTGGGCAACCCCTGGCCCAGTCAAATTGGTGGAAAACGAACCATCACAGCTGATAAACTTGTAAATGCACCATCAATAGGTACCACACAGCTGAAAATCAAGTCCCAATCAATACAGTGACAGTAAGGAAATGAAGTAAAAATGTTCAAAAGTCTAAATTAAAGTGATTTTGAAATATTTATTGTCTGTAAGTAGGGGCTTATGAGCAGAGGGCCCTTTTTTATATTAGCTAGCAATATAGATCAAATAGAGAAAAGACAGGGCCATGAGTAGGTGTGCAGTGATGAGCTCTGAAGTCATGCCAAATTATCACACATCATCAACAGAAACGGCAGAAGCCCTGGCATCGAAGTACTGATGGACTCACATTTTGCACGGTTGTCATTGGAGAAGAGCGAGTGATAACATTGACAGAACAGGCCAGAAGCAGTAAAGAACATAAAACAGCAGAGCAGAGATAATATGGGGCAAATGTAAAAAGGAAAGCGCTGGACACCTAGAGGAGAGGTACCTTCTTAGTAGGAACGAGTTCACCAGCAGGAGACAGAAGTAGAATCTTTAGTAGCTGCTGCCCATATTTCTCATGATGGTGGTTTGTCTCCTCCATATGCTCAAAGGAAGTGTAAACTGGATAAACTTGTTTTATTTTTATGTTTGTGAGAATATATTGCCCGATAGCTTATTGGTAAACAACATCGTCTCTGTAACTTTGAATAACATGGGAGAAGTAAAATAGCTTTGTCTGTGCCATCTTTTGCTGAGATAATAAAGAGAGAATTGGTTTAGGGGGCTTCTACTCATGGAAACTAGACATAATATTTGGAAATCTCTGCTCAGTGAACTTCATTTATAAAATGATTTGTATTCTTGACAAAATGAAATTGAGAGCTCAGATGGTTATCTACATAGTTCAGACCTCCACTTCTTTTTTGCCTCAAGTATATGGCCATTTTCTGTTTTACTTAAATTGCCAACATAATTACCTCAATTTTTCCTTTAATTTTTCATGTTGAAAAGTGCCATCATTATATGGGGGTTTAGTCAAAGGCAATGTGGCTCAAATTTTGAGGGTAGTTTTCATCAGGAACATGTATTAGCTGTATTAGCATTGCCTAAAGTAGAATTCATTACTGAATAATGCTGCTGGTTTGACAAATCAACTAACATTGGAAGATCCTGGGAGGGTTATGGTTTGACAATTTCACACAACTCTACCTCACAGTTACACAGGTCCTGAAGCTATTTCTCCTCTTGCATGGCATTTGCAACTTTTTTATTTTACAGTAGTGAACAACTGCCTAAATTAAAAAATTATCCTAGAGGAAATATAGTACTTTTTAGAAATTATTTACTACTTGGAAATTGGAACTGATTTGTTCTTTAAAAGCTATTGTTTTGCTAATATATATTTTGTTGATAAAATGAGACAGCAAAGAATGATGCAGAGTGCCTGTTGAGAAATTAAACCCAATGATCTTCCTTAAATTCTGCATAGATAAATCATGAGTTTTTTTGCATCACCTTCACTCTTGAAATACAAATGAAACAAAGGAAATTCACTCTTATTAAAAGATTTATTAAAATTTTAATACTTTCTTTGCAGTTTGTCAATAGATACATAATGAGATTTTCTTTTATTTCACACCCCACCATCCCTGGTCTGTAGCCCTTGTCTCATGTTCCAAAATGGAGAAAAGTTCGAAAATAGAGGCAAAAGGCATATGCCACTAATAGTTTAAGGAACTTTCCTTGAAGCTGAAACAGGATACTTTCTCACATATTCCACTGGAAAGAACTTAGTCACATAGTCACACTACCAGCAAGGGTATCTGGGAAATAACATCTTTACTATGTGGCTAGTTATAATCAGAGGATTTGACTTCCATCCATGTTAAGCAGTGTTATAATTTACTCACAGCTTTAAAACGTTAGATACATCATTGATTTATGTACAAGGATGCTTGTCACTATTATTTTCTAATAAAAAAGTATTAGATGCCAGTTAAATGTTCCCAAATACAGAATTTTTAGATGTATTATGTTTTTTTGTGATATAGTAAGTAATACATAGACACTCAAAATCAATTATAAAAAAACTTTATCAAATGAAAATGCTTATGCTATAATATGAAAAGGAAAAAACAGGGTACAGAACTGTATATCTGATATGAGCTCAAACAGAAAAAGACATGAGGGAAATTGATAGAAATGATAGCTATGGTCAATAAGGAAAAATTGTTGGTTTTAATATTAGTCTTTTTATACTACTCTCTAGTATTTTTGTTTGTTTGTTTGTTTGTTTAGAGAGATAATTTAAACCTGAAAGCAATTTTAGTTGTCTGGTAATTTAGAAGCTGAAGAAAATATTTATTCTATATTATTGAAATAATTGGGTCAATTCTCAACTTCATGTAATTTCATTTACTGAAAAAATTTCCTTTCATCTAACCTAGTAAGCATATACATAAAGAAAACAAAAATCCAAACCTTTCTGAGAGATAGTGAATATGCAACTGCTTTGTTTATTCCTCAACAATTCTAACATTTTTCTCGACATGTGAATTGTCTGAAATGCACTTCA